CTCTCCCCCCCTCACCCATCTTTCTCTCTCTCCCTCTCCCCCCTCTCTCTCTCCCATCTCCTTCTCTCACTCCCTCATCCCTTACTCTCACACCCATCTCTTTCTCTCACTCTCACTCTCTCCCTCTCCCCCATTTCTCTCTCTCCCTCATTCTCTCTCTCTCACCCATCTCCTTCTCTCTCTCACCCATCCCTCTCTCTCTCATTTCTCCCTCTCTCACCCATCTCTCACTCTCACTCTCTCCCTCTCCCCCATTTCTCTCTCTCTCTCATTCTCTCCCTCTCACCCTTCTCCTTCTCTCTCTCACCCATCCCTCACTCCCTCATTTCTCCCTCTCTCACCCATCTCTCACTCTCACTCTCTCCCTCTCCCCCATTTCTCTCTCTCTCTCATTCTCTCCCTCTCACCCATCTCCTTCTCTCTCTCACCCATCCCTCTCTCACTCTCCCTCTCTCACCCATCTCTCCGTCTCTCTCGCCCTACCTATCGTCTCGTCCCTAATCTTGTCAACACCCTTGGGCGTCTCTGACCGGTAGGAGTTCCCGCAGTGAACGTAAACGCCCATGAAGTTAATCGACGGACACTCGTGGAGGGACACAGCCAGGTCGACGCCGTGTTCGTCCTCCCACCACACGCCGGCTGGGAAAAAGGGGGGGAAAGTTTGAGTAGGGGTGGGGTAGGGAAGAGAGGGGAGGTGGGGTAGGGTGGGTGTGTGGGTGGGGTAGGGGGGAAGGGGGGAAGGGGGTAGGGAAGAGGGGGAGGTGGGGTTGTATGTGAGGAGGATGGAAGGGGAGGAGGGAGGAGGTGGGGGAAGGGAGGTTGTATGTAGGGAGGGAGGATGGGGTAGGGGGAGGGAGGTGGGGATAGTAGGTGAGGGGAGGGGGGTTGTGTGGGGAGGGGGTAGGTGGGGTGGGGGTGGGAGGAGTGAGGAAGGGTTGTGTGTGCGTGTGTGTTTTGGGGGGTGGGGGAGTTGTGTGTGTGTGTGTGTATGTTGGGTGGTTGTGTGTGTGGTGGGGGGGGGTTGTGTGTGGTGTGGGGGGGGTTGTGTTTGTGGGGGGGTTGTGTGTATGTGGGGGGGTTGTGTGTGTGTGGGGGGGAGTTGTGTGTGTGTGTGTGTTTATGTTTATGTGAGGATGTATATGTGTGTTTCTGTAGGTTCATGTGTGTACATGTGTGTATGTGCATATGCGTACATGAGTATGTGTACATGTATATGTGTGTATGCGTATGTGTATAGGAGTAAGTGTACTTCTATATCTGTATATGAGAATGTGCAACAGTAAAATAAATTTAGTTAATAAGATACGTAAAAGTTGTCTCTAAAAATTATAAAATCGATCAACACAAACGAGCATTATGTAAGGAAATATTTAAGAGATATATATCATGGAAAGAATGTGTGTATATGCTGTGCATGTATTAACATTATAAAATCTGAAATGGGGTATAATTTCTTTTTTTCTTTCTTTCTTTCTTTTTTGTTCTTTGGAATGATATAAACAGAATAAAAAGGGAAATCTGAAAACCGAAGTTCTCTGGTATTTCATTCAGATTAAATATAGTAAACATATACAATTAAATAGATTATTTTGATTAAACTGAATGAACAAGGAGTAAAATCATTAAGAATATTCTAATCCATAAATGATCATACATTGCATAGAATCAGTGCAACATTATCCAAAATAAGTATGCTTTTTTTTTTTGACTCTATGGCCTATCTCTATATCCCTGTCTCCTCCCCCCTCCCCCCCACTATAAATCTATCTGCTCTCATCCTTCCTCTTTATGTCCACCTCCTTCCCTCCCTCCCTCCCCCCTCCCATCTCCTTCCCTCCCTCCCTCCCCCCTTCCCCCTCCACCACCTTTACCCCCACCCCACCCTCTAAACTTTACCCCCCAATCCGACCTCTGCTCAATTCTTAACCCTTTCCCTCCCCCTCCACCTCTCCCCCTCCCCCTCTCCCCTCTCCTCCCTCACCCTCTCCCCTCTCCTCCCTCACCCCCATCCCCTCCCACCCTCCTCCCTCCCCCATCAACCTCCCTCACCTGCATCCCCTCCCCTCTACCTACCCATCAACCTCCCTACCCCCATCCCCCCCACCCTCATCCCCTCCTCCCTCACCTCCCACACACTCCTCCCTCTCCCTCATCCTCCTCCCTCACCCCCATCCCCTCTCTCCTCCTCCTCCCTCTCCCACCAACCTCCCCCATCAATCTCCCTCACCCCCATCCCCTCCCTCCCTTCCCCCTCCCCCTCCCCCACCAACCTCCCCCATCAACCTCCCTCACCCCCATACCCCCCCTCCCTCTTCCTCCTCCTCCCTCACCCTCACCCCCATCCACCTTCCCTCTCCCCTCCTCCCCTCCCCTCCCTCCCCTCCCTAACTCTTCACCCCCTCCCTCCCTCCCCTCCCTCCCCCATCCCTCCCCAACTCTTCACCACCCATCCCCTCCCTCCTTCTCCCTCCCTCCCCCCCCCCCCTCACCTCGATTATTC